GGAGGGTGGGCTCGAGGGAACAACATCGAAGATAAAATTTGTTTTTCGAACATCTGCGGGATCAAAAGCAACATTGATGCAGTTCATCACTACCTGCAATCCAATCGTCCCGCCGTGCTTTTCTTGGCGGAGACAAAAATCTCAGAGACTGCACCGATTAACCATCTCAACTTCCCAAACTACGAGGTGCACTCCAATCTGAGAAAGAACGGGGGAGTTGTGGCTTTTGTCCGCAGCACTCTTTCCTGCTCCACGGATCTTTCTTTGGAATCAGGCCGGAAGGACATTCTGTGGCTTCGCCTCAACTCCAAAACATCACCCAAATTTATTTGCTGCCTTTATCGCTCTCCATCGAACCATAACTGGGATGACCTACTCGAATACCTCGCCGTCCAGATCGACTTCCTGAACATCAATCACCCCGCTTCAGAGGTAGTTCTTCTCGGTGATTTCAATGCCCATAATGAGCTTTGGTTGAGCTCAAATAAGACCGATGCAGCAGGTCGTGCAGTCGAAGGGGCTCAGAGACTTCTTCTCTAGCTTTCCTTGGAGAGATGTCTGTTTCACTGACGCGGATGCGTCGACTGTCTGTTCTTCAATAACCGAAATTATCCACGTCGGAATGGAGGAATACATCCCTCACACAGTAAAAGTTCCTAAACCAGGGTCCAACAGCTGGTTCAACAAATCGTGTGACACTGCTCGCCAGCAGAACATCAAGGCCCACAGAACCTACTTACAAAACCCCACTGTAGAGAACAGACAAGCCGACGTCGAGTCCAGAAACAAATATAACGAAGCGGTTCGCAATGCCAAAAACCAACACGATATAAAAGTTAGGCACAGGGTAATGTCACAGCGCAATGGCAGTCGGTCTTTCTGGACGCTGGCCAAGCAGATTGAAAAGAACTTCTCACACAGAAGCCTTCCACCACTTACGTGTCAGGATGGAACTATTGTATTCGACTCAAAGGCCAAGACGGAAGTGCTAGCCAAGATCTTTGCTGCCAACTCCACCATGGACGTCCCCACCAACGCCCAAGTGCCGTCAATTCAAAGGGATCCCCACACTATGCGGGAGGTAACATTCAGGCATAAGACCGTAAGACGAGTGCTCTTGTCGCTCGACATCAACAAAGCTTCTGGTCCGGACTTGATTCCTGCCATTGTACTGAAGAGATGTGTAGCGGAGCTTGCTCCAGTTCTTTCGCGTCTCTTCCAGATATCTTATGAATCCGGCACCTTCCCAGAAAACTGGAAATTTGCTCATGTACAGCCCATCCCAAAAAAAGGATCTAAAACCGACCCTTACAACTACAGGCCTATAGCTCTGCTTTCTGTTATAAGTAAAGTGATGGAGAGGTGCATAAATCGCGAGATTCTGGACTACCTCGAACGTCACAGCTTGATTAGCGACAGGCAGTACGGTTTCCGGCACCAACGATCCACAGGGGACCTCCTAGCTTACGTCACGCAACTGTGGAGTAAACTCATCCAGTCTCATGGTGAGGCTCATGTCGTTGCTCTTGACATCACGAAAGCGTTCGATCAGCTGTGGCACGCTGCCCTCTTAAGCAAACTTCCATCCTACGGCCTCCCAGAAAAGCTTTGCAGATAGGTGGCTGACTTTATCTCTGGCCGCAAGATATCCGTCGTAATTGACGGATTCTCCTCTTCATCCCACAACGTCAACGCGGGTGTTCCCCAGGGATCGGTCTTGGCTCCAACACTGTTTCTCTTACATATCAACGACCTCCTTTCCTGCACGATCAACCCAATCCACAGCTTCGCTGATGACAGCACTCTACATGCAGGAATTCAGAGTGGCAAGCCGATCTCTGCCGATGTGCTGGAAAAAAGAAGACTAGCGACGACTTCTTCTCTGACAAGAGACCTGGAGGCTATCACTGCTTGGGGACGTAACAATCTTGTACAGTTCAATGCTTCCAAAACACAGTACTGTACTTTGACAAACAAAAAGCGTCCTAGCGCTCATACAGTTTCGATGGACGGTCGAGTTCTACCAAAGAGCCATTCATTTCGGCTGGTCGGAGTCCAGATCACCGAGGACCTGATCTGGCACGAACACATCTCTTCAATAGTTGCAGCTGCTGGGAAAAAGCTAGGCTATTTGTTTAGGGCTAAGAAGTACTTTTCTCCGCATGACCTTCTCACTCTATACAAGGCCCAGATAAGGCCTAGCCTCGAGTATTGCTCACACATTTGGGGTGCTGCCGCCCCGACTACATTGTCCATGCTCGATGCTGTCCAGAGGAGGGCGGTCCGACTGATCGATGACTCTTCTCTAACAGACAGTCTCGGGACTCTTTCGCACCGGCGGGCCGTCGGCGATCTAGCTCTTTTCTATCGCTACACCAACGGGCTTTGCTCCTCAGAGCTCTCTTCCATGATGCCGCCGTGCGATGTGCCTGTCAGACAGCCCCGCCTGACTTCGGCGTCCCATCCTAACCGTGTCAAACTTCGTACATCCAGAACTGGCCGATACGACCGCTCCTTTGTCCCGAGGGTGTCTAGATTGGTGAACAATCTACGGGAGGAAGCTTTTCCCAGTTCTACTAACCTTGGGCAGTTCAAAAATCGTATTAACAAAACAAAATTTCTTCGGGATCATCATAGCAGCCGCGGTGTTCCGGCATTTAGGCTTCTGCCTGCACGGCTGTTTCGATATAAAAAAAAAAAGAAATATCTCAATTATTCTGCCTCCCAGTATGCCACACCACACACTTAAACTCCAACTTCACGCAACCAAAGCGGATTTTTTGCGGACAAATAATGCATAGAAATAATTTCAAATAAAAATTCTCTATTTTTGCGTATCATGCCTAACATCCAATGGCAATAGTCTAACCTCCGAGAAAAGTCTTCCCCTTTCCAAGCCTGAAGCAAAACGACATGATATGGGTGCATTCTATAAGTACCTAAGTAAATAAAAAGTTTAATTTAAATAAATCCCTATATTTTGATGGCCATTAAGTGATGGTCCTTCAAAATATTTTGAACCGTTATATGTCCAACTCAAGGGGCAAGCCCTTGTGCTAATACGAGGTCTTCCTTCGAAATATTTCAGTACGCGGTTAATATTTTCTTCTGTTCTTCCAACTCTTTGCCGTTGAAAAGGAGGTCGAAAGCTCGCCACGGAGAGAAACTCTCACATCGCGAAGACGCCGATTTTGATATCGGATCGCCTAAACTCTTTTTTGCTATTGCTAATTCTGAAGGCATTCCAAATACACTACAAGCATATCAACAGCTTAATCGTTCGTAAAACGAATTTGGTAAGCGGAAAAATTCCTCAAAGTAACGCGAAACTATTGACAACTACTGGCAATTTGAGGATTATTCATGTTTTGATTAGTTATGTTTTGTTGTATTCCTTGGCCTGCTTCTATTAAGTGTCTTTTTCGTATATACCCATAGTAAATATGCATTTAAACAAAAAATATGCCTGTTGTTATTAGCATTACTTACCTTTTAGCGATATTCTGTTATATTTTCAAAAAGGCTGATTTTATTCTGATGAATAGAAGAGAATTCCAGAAAAAATAGTTATAAAATATATAAATTTAAGGGACCGTATAAAATTTTCTTTGGTCAAAATTTTCTGTTATGAACAATGTATCGAGATGCGGTTCCCTCGAGCTTGTTTAGACATTATTTAGCGACGTTTTCATAAAAAGATCATATCATACCAATGCGTTCAATTTTCTTTAGAAAATTAACAATTTCTGTCGGAATGTAGAGAAAAGCCAACTAGCGGCCACATGTGAAACTAACACAACTTCTAATATTATAAAATTTGTAGCCCAAAAATAGCTATTTTCAACTACCAAGTATATTAGTATATTAAAATCGATGCAGCAATTTAGAAGGTACAGGGTGTTTTTTTACGGAAACCTTTGAATACTCCCCACCACTTTATTTTTAGAGGTACAGCAAAAATAGTCGTTTAAAAGATTTAAAAATGTTCACATTATCCTTGACTTTAAAGATCAGGTGTTTTTCTCTTAGGTTAATGTACCAGAATTCACAAAAACATCACTTTTTTAGATTCAAGATTGCAGTTATGCCCCCTTAGAAACTTGAAAATATTTTTCAGGTTTTTCTCTTGGCCGTTTTAGTGAGAATTTTTTTTGCCGCAAGCCTCTACGATGGATAGGTTTCCAGATACAGTACCTCACACTCTTAGTTGATAAAAAACATATTGTTGATATCTTTGTCTATGTTTGTCCTCCTACACCTTGCACAGCGTCATTCGCCTCGCTATTTTTTCAATATTAACCTAACTGCCCTTGCTTACATGCCTAGCAAAATTATCAGCAGCGAGCATCTTGCCGAGCTTCAATTCCAGCTGTCTCTGATTCTCAACCCATCTATCTTTCTACGGCGTAGATGCAGCGTCTACCACCAGGCCATCTCCAACACGTTGTCTATAGGTGGAATTAAATCAAAATTTCGTTTAAATATGAATGATAGGAAACATAATCACTTTCGATATAAAAAATGGCATCAACGAGCGGGTGCGTCCACATATAATCCGATATGTAGTATTCGGAGATGAAAATGGTTTTCTGGTCGGCCGACGGAGCAATTTGCCGTGTTGCGTGCGGATTCACGGCTAACAATGTAACACTATCGCCCTAGCTTAATTATTCGATAGCGGCGGGGATTTTTTGACAAGCGCTGCGTAATAAAATAATCGTACCGATAAGCCAACCCTGGGATGTTGTTAGTACAGTCAAAGTATGCAGGCACAAAAGGAGTAAGATCACCGGCGGAATAACAATCTGCCATGCTCGGTTAGGGCTTCTTAAGTGAAGCTAAAAATAGTAATACGTTTAACTGATAGCGTACTTTTTTTATACTTCAACTACCACGAAGGCCTAAGCCCTAACACCCATTGGGTACCGTGGGGCTATAGGGGGATACATGGGAAAGGGGGAGCGCCACACGGACTCTGGTGAGGGAACACGTGTGCATACAACATGCACACATTCTGGCTCCGCCTGCGAGATCCGCCGGGTGGTACCTCCGCGTTCGACAGTCAGAGACCGTCTACCACCTACGGACAATCACAACATCCATAGCCAAGAGAAAAATTTCTCCTGGGACAGGACTCGAACCCGCACAGCGCACGGCGACTGATCAGGAGACCGAAGAGTCTACTACTGCAGCCACCGCTGCTGCCTAAATGAAAACAACATCAAATGAAATTGTGTATTATCTTTATTATGATCCATATTCAGATGCTCAAATATTCTCAATACGCATGCAAGCGTACGAAATATCTCAAACACATTTAGCATGCTAGTTCAACCCTGCAGCGTGCGAAATCTCTCTAGAAGGTTCGCAAGTCTGGTTAATGTCACGACCGCCCTTAACACGTTGACTGCGTTGCAAAGAATTGGTACTATTTCTTCAATGCGATATAAGTCGCCCGGGACCGATAGCATGCTATTATTCTGACTCGGTATCGGTCTTCGGAGTCGGATGGGCAAGTCTTTACCTAGAGCCCTCTAACATTTTGTGTTCAAACCAGAATCAGAAAACTATTGCAGAAATCTGTAAATATATTCTAGGTGAACGTAAGTCTGGCTCCGTATAGGTCGCTGACGACTTATACCGCATCAATGGCTAGATTTATTTTAAGCATAAAAAGAACACTATGGAATATTCATTTTATTTTAAATTTTGATATTTTGCCACTAAAACCATACAATATAATTCAAAGATATAAACCAAGAAAAGGTTTCCATTATGTGTGTAATTTACTAAAGCAAGGAAGACACATGCCAGGTTTTCAAGAACAATCTTCACAAAAACTCGTTACTTTGGTGACTTTTGTATTGGCTTCACGGCTTGATAGTGCTGTCCGAAGATTTTGGTAGCATCCTTTACAAATCTTTCTTTTTTTTTCTTCCTGGGCCAGTTGGCTTTCTGAAAGTGTGTATCCTTTTACTGGTTGTTGGTTCAGAAACAACTGTAGGAGGATCTCTTAACTGTTCTGCTAAAGTTTTTCTAAATTCGGTTATCGACATTTTCTTCTTTTAAATGCGGTTGAAAATAATCCAGGCATTTACGACACAAATAGAAATTCATTCATAACTTTCCTGTACCATTTCAGGCCTCGACGAAGAATAGAGTGATATGGGGACATCTGGTCACTATAATCAACTCCTTTCTTAGCTTTGTTATAATCTTTAACACACTTGGGATTTATAATGTCTTCACCCTTTCTTGATTTTTTTCCAGTTTCTTGGACAGTGCTGATATGAGTAGATTCTGTAGTCAGCATTAAAACTGGCCGTTTATCAACCCATTTTATAATTTTAATGCATCCATTTTGTTGACCATACGTCTTTCCCTTTTTCAACATTTTTTGGAAAGATTTTGGGTTTCCTTTCCGATTTGCACGTAGTGTTCCGCAGTAGACAATTTTTTCATCAAATAGTTTTTTATCTAAAGGCAAGCTGCTATAAAAATTATCTGCAAAAAGATAATGTCCTTTTATGGATTTTAGCAGTTCTAGAACCATCGTTTCTGAATGCTGTTGGCCTTCAACCTTTTCATTTTTTCCTTTATATATAATAACTTGGATTGTGTATCCATCAACAGCATATAATTTATATAGTTTAACATACTTGCGCGTTTTATTGGGAATATTACCAATAATACCAACATATTTATCAACAAATGTTTGCCAAGCACAGTAATTTTGTATTATACAAAAGTTGTGATATTGTTGCAGACTACCTAGACTACCCTGCAAATATGCCGTATGAAATAGTTGTATAAACGTTAATGCAACAGTTCAAAATTTGTTCCAAAAGGTGTTGCATAACTATGTTACAAGAATATTTTAGAGCAAATATGCGGCAGAAAGCAAATTTGCATTCCACACAAGATTAAGCCAGCAATTTGGTGTTCAGGCAACAACAATATAGAACACTTACGTATAAATAGTCCTTTTACCAAAAACTTGTAGTACCACTTTGCTAGCTGGGAACACAATGGATGATACACAAACTCTCCATTTATGCCGTTAAAAAGTAGTATTTAATGGCCATGGTAAAACTAGTGTAGCACACTTCTGAAATCATGGCCAACTTATTGTTTAATGTATTAACTTTAGGTAATTATTTTAATTCATTGTCGATGCTTTGATTTCTCAATGTATGTCAGGTTTTCGCCACTGTGGGTCGATTTGAAGGATCTCCGGCCAATCTTGTAGGTCCCACAGCAGAAAAACTGTGTGATATTCCTTTACAAATAAACTCTGTTCCTAACGTGACTAATCTATAACATACCGCAGTCCATTCGTCGGACGTCATTGGGTGAAATGATTTTCCGGTAACATCACTGCCGCCGCGTCGTATCCGATTTCTCGATTTTACCAGCCTTAATTAACACCTGCCCATTGTTACTAATTAACTGCTCGTTATAACTAACCAATCAGATTTATAATGGTTTTATGTTCAGTTTTATGCCGTTCTGGTGACAAATAGCCCAACGAAAATAATGGAAAATACATGTACCCGAAAACGTTATATAATAATTCCAGTCGTAAACTGATAGATGTTTCTTGGTCGATCGATGGCCTCAAAAGTCGCGCGAGCAAACATGTTCACTCAAAAATAAATACATTTTCTAAAAAACAGAGGCTCATGTGTCAATGTTTGCTACAAGTAACCATATGAACAGTCCTTCGTACTGTTAAGCCCTTCAATTTTGATAAATCTCCAAATATTTGTTTGTGCATTTGCTAACTTTTAGTTATACAGTACTGGGAGGCTGCAAATATACACGACTGACGATGCTTTTCAGTCACATTGAAGCTTTGCCTGCTGAGATAGAATTACCCCAGAATAGGCACAAAATTTCCCAGAATTGCAGCACACGTGAGAGTTGTCTGCTATTCTGCTATATGATTAGATTATATTGCCTCCTTATTCGTGAGACTGATACTATGTAGTTTAGTATCAGTTTGAACTTTTCCTAACCTCAGGTTCATCATTGGGAACTGTGAGGCATTGCAAAGTAGTTGTTTAACACTTTCTCCCAAAACACCTGTGTGAGATAATGATAGACAGGTAAATCGCTCGGCACACACGAAAGCTCAGTTTTGAGGGGATAGGTACGACCCATGAAGACTAGACGTAGGAAGTTAAACTGCATAAGGGAACACCATCGAAGACACATGAAGCCAGTGATTGGCGGTAAGGAGGGTGTGGCTCTCGAAAACATAGTGCTTCTGCGCAAACATGTGCAGGGAAAAGAGAGAGAGATAAATGCATACATGAGAGAGATGCCACATGCGCAGAACCTGAAATAGATGTCTGATGCAAAGGCCTTCATTCTCGACACCTTTGGTTTCACACCCACGCTATGAGCTTACCCTCCTGTATCTAGTCTTCATGGTACGCGGATAGAAAAAGCGACAGAAAAATAAAATTTGTATTCAGCAATGGTCAGCTTTTCTTGGTGAAAAAAAAACATGCCAACAAATATCTAACGATTTTATTTTTCCCCACAAAAACTATATTCCCTAAAAATTTCCAAGGGGAAGTAAAAATCCCATATATTTGAGAGAAAATTTCCAATATGGCAAAGCTGGGTATCAAAAGCAATTGGATGCTTTCGTGAACCGAGGCGGTGTTGTCAAACTGACATAAAATGTTCCGAAGAAGTTACATTTCTACTGAGGTGAATTCAATTCAGCTTACTTCGTGGTTTTTGGTGGTTAAAAAGTAGAACGAAATATGTGAACATATACTCTTAAGGCCAGGCTGCCTAAATAACTGACAATGATGTCAATTATACCGACGACTAGTTAAATAAGGATTTTTAGGTTAGAAAAGGTTTGAATTTCAAGCTGACGTTCGCCTTTGTTACTAAATGAAATATTGTGTAGTATTCCGCATAGGGACCTACAAGGTAAGTAGCTTTGTGATAACTACCAGGCTTTGAGAATAACTTCTGTTTACGTGACGCGAAAAGTACTCGCGAAAAGTGTGCAGTGCAAAGGATGATAAATATCCCTACCATGAATAAATTTCCGAAGAAAAGCAAATTTGAGCGATGGATGCTTTCACGACAAGTAACGTACAATGAGTTCACGCAAAAGCATAATCTTCCTGGAAAAACTGCACTTAACACTAACCTAATAAGAACACCAAGTGCATAGACGCCGTTAGATATTTTGTGGACGCCAAGTTGTGGATTGCGTCTCATATGTCACCTTGTCGAACTATCTTCTCTTGGTATAACTACTCTTTGATTACACGTCGAGGTGGTAGTTGCAGGTACCCTATAGGCTTGCCAGATGGGAGAATAGAATTAAAATCGTGAAACGACGCATGAACAACTTTGCCATATTGGTTCTTTCCCCCCACATTATATTACTTTTCGGGTTATCTTTGGAGGCATAATTTTCTGGGGAAATTATTTGGGGATAATCAAAACTTTTGGACACTTTTTGGATATCTGATTTTGTTTTTTACAATGTGAAACTAGCCACTGTCAAGCGAAAACTCCAACTCTTATAGCCTTATTCAAATACGTCACGACAAAACATACAACCAACTGATTTCCATCGTGATAGTATTTATCTAAGGGAGTTACAAAAAACTTCAAATACAAGGGTCTTAGGGAATCAGATACCGCATCTAGTGATGATATTGGATTTGACGTTGATACTCACAATTAAAGATCATTTCAAGGGCAATTTGATTTTTTCGAATGGGGACCCGCGTTTTTATTGCGGAAATAGAAAGCCAAAAAAATCCATTTCCAGCAGCCTGAATATCATACTCGCTAAAATTACATGTAGAGGCCGCTTCAAGGTTAATTTTTGCTCAACGGCACATCTTATGGTAACATGCATTCTGACCTTGACTATGGAAAATTGATTTTTTCACATCGAAACCCTCAATTTTGATCCAAACGCTTAAAATGGAGAAAGATCTCATGTTCAAAGGTTAAATTAACTATACGACCTAACCATATTACCCCATCTTCTCATCATGAGAATGTTATTAGATTCACGACCATTCAGACGATCCCTCGGACGATCTGTTTTCAATTAGAGTAACTGAATGTCTTAAGCAACAGAA